GACCCATGTTACGATTAAGAAAGTACACGGCTTTCGTTTAACACTCATGTATTATTTTGTTCGACAAACCTTGCTGTATTGTACAGTAGCGTGACATTGGAATGACACATATTCTTGACCTTGACGTCCTCAAATTCCTTCTCCTTGGAATTCGTGGTCGGCCGACCTTCATCATGTATGCCCGACATATTCAAGGATAATATCAATGGACCTGTGTCATGACAATATTTCCGCCTCTCCCCGCCGGTCGGGGGTGGTCTTGTGGCAGGGGCGCATGCGGCACCTGTTGAGCCCTTAACTGGGTGACGCCCTAACCAATTCACCAGCTCAGTGAGACAGAGTTTGGGTTTCGAACCAAATCCAGTTTGTCCAACGAAATGGACAAACTGTCTCCGCAACTCTCATCCGTCTGGATAGCCCACAAAAGACTGCAGATATGGGCAAAGGTAGCTCACTCATCAGCGTTCGTGAGTAATTTTCATCATTCGGGCCGAAATGGTATCAATCCAATTGAACAAATTATAAAGATTCCGTTTATTTATTGTTGCCAAATATGTTAATTAGACTAACTCTGATAAACAGTAATTTTGTCAGAACGAAACCCATTGTGATGATCAACATTTAGCTTGTTACGCGTTAACTTTAAATTACGTATAATACAAAAAGGGCGTAACATAATTTACCGTTATTGTTAACAAAGTTTGCGTACAACATTTTATAACACTACATCGAAAAATTAAATATTTTTTAAAAATAACAAACACGTCTGTAAAATGAATCAATATTTGTCATGTACGACTGTCAACTATCTGAAATAATCCTGAAATGGAAGAAAAACAACGTGAAAACGAGATGTAACAAAGTCTTTATTAATAATAACATAATTTCATATTTAATTAATTTTATTTTAGGTTTAATATTAAAAGAAATATTGTTGCCAAATAAATAATTTAAATAAAATAAAAAAAATTAAATGCCCCTAAAAAACCAAACAGATAAATTTAAATACAAAACTAAACATCTAAAACATTTTTCTATATCCATGTTCTATGTATGTTAAACATAGCCATTATTTACTAGAAGAAAAAACCTACAAACTATTCTTACGGATACAAAAATGTGTGCAGATATTGAACTTCATGTCATAAAATTAGAGTAATTAAAGTATATTTTTAAGTTTAATTGAATCAAAGTTTACATATTTCATTTTTACGTAATTATTAATTAATTTTTATAAATTAACGAATTGTTAAAACTAGAGTAAATTAAAAAAATAAATAAAATTATAATTAGTATTTATTTTTTGTAACAAATTAACATCTAACAGCAAAACAATATTCTTTTTTTTCCTATGTTCACTAGATTACATAATTCTTGCTAGTTATTGTTCATGTGTGTAATTTATTTCAAAAGTTAATAAAAATCCGATAATAAATTATCGTTAAAACGTTATCAACAAGTCGTTAAAATTAAACCCAATTAACAGTCTAAATAATTCTCCTTTTTGTATTTACGTATTTAATCTACCTCACTAAGCTGTACAATCAATTTACTGTTGGACCATTACCGTTGTTGACAATTATTTAACGTTTATTTACACGGCTGGCATTATCCAGTATATTTTTTTTTTATTTAATATAATAAATCAATAATTGTGTCGTTTTGGTTGGCATCTTGTTAAATTATTAAACCTGTGGCCTATTTGAACAAATCTCAGATCAAGACAGACCAAAATTTAGAGAAACTAGAATGAACATCCAACTTTAACAAACTTAAAATTATATCAATTGACTAAATTTTTTTTAATGAATTGTAACGTAAAAATTGCAAACGTTAAGATAAAATGTTCAAAAGAGTTTAAAAACGGTGCAACGCAACAGTTAAAATGTCATTAACCGGGAAACTAATTTAAATACTTTGAGCCTTAAAAATATCATTCCTAGTCTATTAAATACCAACTTCTTCCTGGCAAAACTTTTACAGTTTGTACAAGTTCATCGGGTTAAATGAAAGCACACTTCCGCATTTACGTTACGCCACGGGAGATCTGTTTAAATGTGCTCGTAATCAATTACGAACACAGAAAGGTCAAAAGGTCAGGATATTGACTTACCTTTCATGTATCCGGCTCCTTTCAGATTTAAACCACAAAAATTTCCCCCTTTCCCTATACAAAATGTATGCAAAAACACGTTTAACAAACTTATTTCGAAATCTATTCATAACAGAAGGTACAACAATGACACGTGTTTTTTTTCTCTTCGCAATCAGATTTATCAACTTGGCATTAAAAATTTGTTTTTTGATTTTAGAAACGGAATTATAAACACGTTTTTTCTGCTTGAACAAACCTTTTATCCTAAATGTTTTGATCAACCCATTAAAAAATGAACAGTTTGAACAAGTCTCGTCCTCAAAAATGATAATAATATATTTATTATTGTCATGTATCTGCATTATGTACAAATCAAAAATTTAGTAACTTATAATACAATATATATTTTCAGGAAATAACCCAATTTACAAATATATTTAAATATAGAGATATACAATATATAAAACAACAATTAAAAAAAGCAAAACTAAGAAAACAAGGGAAAAAACTTGAATATTAAACAATACGTATTGTGAAGGAGTGCTTTGTGCATATTTAATTAAATTATATTCCGTTAAAATTTTTAGGTAGAAATAATGTAAAGTTACAGGGGCTTCGGTGGCCGCAACGGTTTAGGCGTCGACACGGCTCTCGTCACTGTAAGGTAAAGGTCCAGGGATCGAATCCAGCGGCCCTGCAGTCGAACCCGACGTCCTTACAAATGGGCTTTTTTTTTCAAAAACACCGGCACCCCTAGGTATAACCTCGTAGTTGAAACACCCTCGCAAAAAAAGTTAAATATGCAAATATGTAAATACATATATATATTTATTCATAATGTACGAACAATTCCAAGTTCAATAATTTATATTAAAAACATTTTATTGTTATGCTATCAAAATAATGAAAGATAAATTAAATTAAATTCAAGATTTAACATGTCTGCAAACTTGACACAAGAATGAATAAAAAGAAGAATTAAAAATAGTTACACGTGGAATGTTATTGGCTGAACGAATCATTCCATCAACGGAGAATTTTTCTATAGTTAGTAGAATGATAGGAAATGTGAAAAAGTCTATTATACCTGGTTATTTAGCTCGGTGCATAAAAATTAATCTGACTAAGTAAAAAATGACTGTTCATTTGGTAGTTAATTTTTTTGAAAAGAGTAAGTAAATCAGAGTGAAGTCTACCTGCCTATAGGGGAAATAAAATTACTGTTCAAATTGTCTACAGTCAGTAATAATTACTCTTATTTTATAGGCAACAATTCTGAGAAATTTAAATTGTACAGATTGAAGTTTGTGAACAAATTTTGGAATGTAGGGATTCCAAACAGGAAGGCAGTATTCAAGTACTGATCTTACAAGCTATATGTAAAGAATGATCAAGACGTTAGGGTTAACGCGATAAGAAACCCAGCATTTTTAAACTAGAGGTTTTAATATGATCAATATGGGCAATAAAATTTAAATTTGTGGTCAAAAAAACACCAAGGCTTTTACCTTTAATTTTTAAAAGAAAAGCAGTATTACGAATAAATTAAGTAAAGATTTAATTAGATTTAAACCGGTAAAAGCTCATAGAATAGCATTTATCAATATTAAGAAACAAGTAATTCTTTAAAGACTAATGATAAAGAGCATTCAATTTAGCTTGAAGTAGTAAGTAGTCATCTTTATGCATAAAAAATTTTAAATCACCAGAAGAGGATAGAATAAAAGGATGGGCGATGATGAAAATATCAAATAAGACTGAAGAAAGGTGAGCCCCTTGGGAAACACCAGAAAAAAAAACCTTTATTATTTGAGATTGGTAGCTGCCATAGTAAAACAATTTGTAGATAGATAACTAGAAATCCAGGATGAAAATCCTCCTGAAATCCAAACACGTTTTAAAAATAAACTGGACGATAGTTAGTTACTATATTTTTGTTTCCACTTTTAAACAAATGAATGACAAATCGAACTTTCCAAAAGCTAGGAAAAGCTCCTTGATCCAAGGAATAATCGAATATGTTACAGAGAAAAGGTGGTTAAGTATATCTACATTCGTATAGAAGTAGTGGATGAATACCATCTGGTCCAGGAGATTTGGTGAAGTTTAAAGAAGTTTGTTGAGAGAAAACCGTTTCTAAAGTGCTAGATGTAGAGTTAAAGAATTTTTAACTCTATGTGTCAAAAAAGAAATCAAAAGTTACATTATATAAGTCGTATACACAGATTAACATGTAATTTAAAAAAATTAACAGTAGAAGGACCATCACAACAATTTGCATCTTTGTAAATCATGAACTTAGGAATATTAGTAGTTTTACGTTTTGACCTTTTTTGGAGTTATTACATAAGTTATAAGTTCTTAAAGTTATTAAATTAGTTGGCTTTATGATAAATAATTTAGTACGTTGTTGCAGTTTTGATTCAAACTGCACGTACTCTTTTAAAAAGAATTGCGTTTCATGAACTAACATTTGCGGAAATCTTTTCTTTAATAAACGTTAACTTCTAACATTTGGGTTTATTCGACGATCAATGTAAATCACACGGACTTAATAGTATGTTATACTTAGAATCGTTTAAGGTTTGTCGTTTTTCTATTCTAAACGTAGATTTATAGAATAACTAGAGAAACAACGAAACTAGAAAGATTCTAAGTTATAAGGAAAAAGTGCAACGTGCCTTATAGAGAAATGTGTACTCAAATAAGACCTACAAGTCTTACCATTGCATTTATTATTTATGTATGATTTAGTTACTTATTTTTTTTCTATCTTAATAAAATAACATAGTAGGAAAAAAACAATATATTATAATGTAAAAATTTAATTTTGACGGAGAGGTCTTATGTTGTGAGGGGTAGTTTCTGCCGTTTTAGACAGTAAAGGATATTAAAACAATTGCAGGTCTTTAACGTCGCTAAGGAAGAGAGAACAGTTCAGCCGAGCAGTCAGCCAAGTTTGGAGAGCGTGGCACCACCTTTGGAAGTGACGGGTGGTTTACAGGCTACCGTCTGCACCACTCCGTCACTCTCTTCACACCCTTCAATAGAATCCAACATTTCCAAACAGGTAGGTAACGATATATTTACTCTATGATTATAGCGGTATTCATTTCCTTTTTCTTTTATGTTTAGAGCAATAGTTTAAAAAATTTAAGCCCCGAGTGCATGGGCAGGCCTGAACCCTTTCGGAGACCGCTTTCACCGCTTTTGGTCCCTCAAGATTCGACCTCCTCCATCGTGACCACCTGTAGCCTGAGGGAAGTGCCCGGTTCACCGCTCCCTCTGGGTTCCCTCCAGCCGGCCCTTTACACCAAAAAGGAAGGCCCTATCGTTTTGAGAAACCAAGACAACGTGGGCCGCCTCCATATCAGCACTGAATACGATTTTGACAGATCCGACCTCCTCGTCCATCTCTTTGAAGGTAACGAAAGCGGTCATCTAGTTTGACCATTTCCTTTCACACCGTTCTGCCTGCCTTCGTTTTTCCTCTGACCGATGACCACATTAATAAACAAAAGACAGACGCATAAACAAAACGCACCGAGAAAATAGAGATTCAGTCACAATAACGTGCATAAGAAAAGAAAAGAACAAATTAAAAAATCTATTTAATACATCAAACATAAAAACTAGTAAATGAGATGGGCAGGAAAATAAAGTAGAGTTACAAAGAAATACCAAAGTTGGCCAATCACCCAAGACCATACAAAATCTCCCATGATATATAAAATTAATGAGAACTGGACATACTTGAAAACTAGAAATAAACAACATTTCCAACAGGAAGAAACTTACAAACACACAAATCAACAACTCGCAAGATATTTAGTTTTTTTAAAGGTATACAAAAAAAGATTATGAATGATTGATAAAGATGCCAAACCGATTGTAAAAAAAACCTATTTTAAACGTACTTAATCCGTCTAAGCCCCGGACAGACAGAGATAACAGTGACAAACTTTCTCCGTCTTCCACGGCGACCGGGCTAAACAAAACTCTTCTTTTTTCCTCTACCTCTCAACAAATACCTCCTGGCTCAACACTAAAAAAGACAAACATGGGAAATATCTCACAGTCTAGGTCATTGAAAATTGAAGCTGAAACGCTTCTAACATGAAAAAAGGCGAAAACAGACCGACGAGAAATATTTAAAACAAGAACGTACGATTTAACTTATTAATTAGCGTAAATGTGTGGTATCAGAACGTCGATAGCAGTTTTTGTGAGTAAGATGATGGCGGAATAGAGTTCACATCGCCCTACCAGAATGAATTGCATTATTTCCTGTATACATCATATATAAGAAAGAATATATTCAATTAATAGTGAAAATATAAATATTTGAAAGAGTTTCGTTGCGTGAATTCTAATTCCGATGGTATTGAATTTCAATAATTGCAGGGGAAGACTTTGTGGGGCACGACTGCCTCGTCGGAATCCTCCTGGATCCTCCGGTCGACAGCAGAGTGAGACAGAGCACTTGTAGATCCGAGACGAATCCGATTTTCGACCAGGTTTTTAAGTTCCCCGTCTCCCACGATCAGCTCTCCAACCACCATCTAATATTTCAGGTATTTGTACAAAACAGGTACAAAACGAGTAGGAGTGGTTTAAATTTTACGTTTGATGGAAAGTGAGGACGGCCTCGACTCGAAGGGTGAGATCAATATCAATTTATGCGAATACCAGGGAAGGATCCTACACTTCTAAACGTCTGTAGCACAAAATACATATTCATATAACGCGGAAACCTGATTCCAATTTCCAATTTTTCGATGATTCGGCATTTTTTATGGAATAAACTAATCTAAAGCAGATTTAGAAGTCATTATAATATTGAAAATATAAAAGAAGTATTTTTTAATAATATTGATAGAAGTTATTACATAATTAAACATTTTGCTTTACAAATCATTTTTAAACTTATTTAAATTTCCGTTAGTGCATCATATTTATACAAAAATTAATTATATGATAATGTTATGCGTTAAGTTAATAATTACAATTTTGCTAAATTTTATTATTTCTCACAACGCAAAAAATATTTGTGTGGTGATTAGTGACCGTTAGTCGATGATTATTCGGAAATCGTGAGATGCGGTATGGTGTGGAGTAGGTCTTTATCGTGCCAACGTTTCGATCTTTATTGAGATCATCTTCAGGGCCTGGGATTTACAAACAGTGTTTAAATTTAACAAATACATGTAGGATGTGGAAAAAATTGAATTTATACAATGCAAAAAAAATATTTGTTATATTCAATCAAAGTATTTCTACTCACACAAAGTGTTTACCAGAAAACAAACACTTTGATCACACCAGACCTCATCTCACGATTTCCGAATGAGCAAAAAATATTATTTATACACTTTAGTTTGACCAAAACAAAAATCTATTCGGTTGTCGAGAAAATAATGCAGGTTTATGTAATAAAATAAAAACGATGAAATGATTATTAACTTATTTTTAACATTTTTATTATTTAAAATACTATTGATCACTCTCAATACAATTCTCCCAACGTGTTGGCAACTTCTCTACCTACACCCTCTAATAAAATTTTGAATCTTATTTATTAACTAATTCTGTAAACGCATTTTCTATTGACGTTTGATCAATAATATTTTTTATGTTGTAAAACGTTAACTAGGTGTCTGAAAAAAATAGTAGTCGATAGGTGAGAGCTCTGTAGAATAGGGAGGGTGAGGCAAAATCCCATAACCGAGATCCAACAATTTTCGTATTGTCACATATGAGACATGGGGCCGAGCGATGTCGTGGAACAGAATCGGCTTCTTCCGATTGACCAAATATGGCCTATCGTTAATTTCTAGTGCATTGCTTCAATTTGATAGCAAACATTTCGGCATTGTTTGTTTCACCAGGATTAAAGAAGCTGTAGTAAATCAGCCCAAATGACGCCCACCGAAGAGTCACCATCATATTTTTTTGATGAGTCGGGGGCTTTGGAAAATGCAGAGCTGCTTCTCCTTTATCGAGCCACTGTCTGCTGTTATCGTAGAGAATCCACTTTTCATCACAAGTAACAATTCTATCCAGAAAAGCTTCTTTTCTTTTTCAGCAAAGAAGTGTTCCGCAAACTTCATAACAATCTTTTTTTAGCGGTAGTTTAATGCATGAGAAATCCAACTTTTGAGCTTTTTCACCATTCCTATTGCCTTAAAGTGGTCAGCGACGGTCGATTTGCTAACTGAAAAAAATTCTCTACAAGTTCTCGAACAGTTGTTCTTGGATTTTCTTTGACCAAAGCTCGCAGAATATCATCATGTGGGGAAGAAATCCTTCCACGATCTTCTTTGCCGTCAACGTTAAGTCTCCCTCTTTAAAATTTTCAAACCATTTCTGAACAGCGCTCTCACTCACACTGTCATCGCCCCAGACTTCACGTTTCTGGCAGAAAGGGCACTGTTATGATTGAGTTTAAACTAGTAAAATTAAATGACGCAAAAATCACGTGTTCACATCTCAGTAAAGACTGAATTATTCTCAAGTTACAAAAGGCTACTGAGGTAAAACAAACATTTTTGTTTGAAAGTATTGACATTCGTAGAAAAGAATAATCCATCAAATGTAAACAGTTTATTATATAGATGGGTAATTGAAGAAAACGTTAAAACCTTCATTATTTTCCGGGCAATGTTTGAAGAGTGACACAATTAACAATACAAGATTAAATATTACCACGCAATTAACAATAAACTTATTGTGGTAAAAATCTTTTTTTTCATATTTTTTAGATCTTAGACTACGATAGATATTCTAGGAATGATGTTGTTGGAGAGCTGCGCCTGGATTTGTCCGAGATCGACGTCACTTCCATGGTGGAAATCTGGGGCGACATCGTCAAAATTAATAAGGTAAATATTTTAAATTGCGCGCCGGCCATCGTTTAACAGCCATTGCCGTTATAAGGGCTTATTTCGTTTTATTTTTAATAATGGGGTTCCGTGAAACTGCTCGAAGCCACTCGATCCAATCAATCATTCACCCTTCACGACAGACCGACGCGACGTGTACATTGAATAGCACACGACATCTAAAGTGATCATTGTTCAGTTGGTTATCGATTTTTAGATCGCTTATGAAAATTTATGTAAATTAAAGAGAAACGCAAGAATGACACAATTACACAGAAGACAAACACTTTGAGTGAGTAGAAATACTTTGTTTGAATATAAAATATATTTTGCATTGTATAAATTCACTTATCCACATCCTAAATGTATTTGTTAAATGCAAACATTGTTTGTAAATCCCAGGCCCTGAAGATGATCTCAATAAAAGATCGAAACGTTGGCACGATAAAGAAAATGTTTTTCTGAAACCTACATCACACCCGACCGCATCTCACGATATCTGAATTACTATCGATTAACGGTCACTAATCTCTACACATTTAATATAAATGGATGAAAACAAAAATTAACCATATTAAATGTAGCCAAACAATGTAAATGTAGGTAGCAAGGCAAACAAGACTGAGCGAAATGAACTTTATTCAGGGTATCCAGTATAAATTTCGTATAAATTATTTTTACTCACTTTGGCCATCAACCATATGGCGGAGAGATGGACGAATTTAACGCACTACTCAATTTATTTAGGTTAAAATTAAATTCATTATCTTTTTCATTGGTTACAGGTAATTAGGAGCTATCGTAGTCAAAATAAACAATAAATAATGCTTTGTTTACTTCCATTTACTTTTGTACTGATTGGAAAAAATATTGCCCGTCCATTCTGCTACGCCTAAAGATCGCTTTCAGTTAATCTTTTTTCTTCGTTGATTTCATTTGTCTTAACCTTTTTTCAACGGCTCAAGTCATACATCTGAATGAGTATGAGACTATCAGGGTCATAACATTATTAGAGGGAGGATACAGCAAGCGTGAAGTCGCCAGGAGGCTGAGTTTAAATTACTCTACAATAGGAAGGGTTCTTTGGCACTTCAGAGAAATAAGGCTTCACACGAGAAGGTCAGGACAGGGTCGACCTACGTCCCCAGAAAAGAAGGACGATGGATTCTTCCGTCGTTAGGCTCTACAAAGCCGTTGCATTAAGGGAAATGTGATAAGAAATCTGGTTAGACAAGTCCGAAATGTTTCGATTTTCACCAGGACTGTAAGAAGAAGGATCAATGAAAATAACCTCGGGTCCCGGCTCGTGGTGGAACATGTGAATTGGACATTGGAAGATGGGGATGAGTTCTCTTTACTGATGAGGTGAGATTGGCCTCAAATCTTCAGATAGGCGAAATTTCATACGGACACACTCATACTGCTGTATGGTGGCAATCCGTGTTGGCTCATTGATGTTCTGGGGTGGCATTTCCTTGGAAGCCCGCTTTTTGGTTTTCGGACAAATACCATTTTTGCACCATTAAAAACATTGCAAAACTCAAAAGGGAAGGACCGTCCAAAAGGCCCCGACTTCATGCATCAAGCATACTGACAGTCAGTCCTAAGCCCCACTCCACCCATCCACGATCTAAAACACAAAAACTTCACAAATATTACCCAAACACGAAGATGACGAAATGCCGACACACGTCTGAATCAACTCAAAACAGCGAGGATAGGCAGACAGGATGATAGGTAATTATCAAACAATAAAAAACGAAAAAACTCGTTAACTCTTAATCATTTTCTTTATTCAATTTCCTTTGTAGAATCGTAAAAACAATATTTTGTTGTATTATCAAACAACCAAAATAGTAATTCAGAATACGAAAAAGGATACTTCTAATCCCCAGGTCCCTAAATTCAATGGTGATCCGAATCTATCGAGATCTCACAAAAATTACCAACTCTTTTCACAGATCCTCCAAAGTCTAACGGACTACAAAACGTATATTTAATCTCATACCTTAGAAATAGAACAAAAGAACCTGCAGCTGAAGTTATTAAAATATTAGTATTAGTAGTAGTAATTGTAATCTTAAGTCATAGGCGATTAGGCTTTGCGTTATTTTTTTAGATTTAAATAGATTTCGTCTTTTTATTTTCTGATTTCCGAGTAATATTAACTAAGTGCATTTAGTAGTCATTATTGTTCGTATTAATTATTTTAATCAATTATACTGTTTATCTAAGTGATTTGAAGTCAGTAGCTCAAGTGGTCATAGCAGCGCTGTTTTGAGCTGAAGGTCGTGGGTTGGAATCCGCTCTTGACACTAGCTTTTTCATCTTAACCAAGACCTTAGGTAAAAAGTATAATTAATTCAAATAAAAATAATGTTTAGTTAGTAACAAAAGAAATATGTGTCGTGTCTATTTGTGAGATTCATAACCAATAAAATCGGAGTCCTAAACAAATAAATGTGGACGTGTTAACTTATGACTAGAGCCCGTATTAATATGAAACAAAAATTCTCATATATGCCATATAATATGCGCTAATAAAACCTTATGCAGTTGTTTTTTGTTTGTTTGTTTTTTTTTTTTGTTTTTTTTTTTTTTAACCTAGACATATATTTCCTTTTTCGTCATATTCATTTTGAAGGGAACAATAGAAAAAATCTCAGCTACACAAACAAATTATATAATTTAGAATATACAAAATAAATAATTAATAAAAGAGATTTATAATTTTTATGTAAAATGTGATTTAAGGTAAATCAATTTGAATAATCATTTTGGTTAACTAGGGCCAAAAAACATACAGATTGATATAATAAATAATTAAGCCTAATTAAGTTCATGATCTGAAAATGCATTTCAAATTTAGATTCTGTAAACCTCAGCGTTTTTCTGTCAAAAAATATATGTACCTCGAAAAATGACGTGGACAAAGGTGATGAGAGCAAACATGTAGCAATTTAAAATGCATAACTGGATTGTCAATTCCCTGTATAACATTTTACTGTTCACACTTAAGCTATCGTTAATTTTCCCCAATTCGGTCAAGACGTTTTGTTTGTAAAGGATGTTTTTTACTTTCACTTGTGATAAAATTCCTGCATCGACTTTCTGTTTTGAGTTGGAATAAAAAATCCCACATGCCATTTTACAAGAAGTTAAGTTCCAAATTCCGGAAATTTTATGTTCATTGGGAAAATATGACTGAGACTGGCTGTTTTGGTGTTTCAAATAGGGCTTTTTTCCACAACCTGTCTTCTTCACAAAAAATAATTTTTCAGGAAAGACAAAAACTGCTTCTACACGTTCTCGTTTCGGAAATAGGTGTCTCAAAACAAGGTGCCAATTATTTTAAGAGAATTAAACGAATTTTAATTTAACTTTAACTAAATTTAAAAAAATTAAAGTGTCAGATTGTTTAAGTTTTTGTTACGACTTCTTACGACTCTTATTACGTCTTCCTGGCAAGTTAACTGAAATCCGAATCAAATTAGAGGCACTTGTTTTTCCTCTCGCGTTCTTACCTTGTCGGTAATCAAAAATGTTTCAAATTTGCAATATCGTTAAAAATATGTAAATTTATGCAATATTCTTCAAATATGCAAAAATATGCACAATAAAATTTGAATCATTGTACCACGGAGGTATGATGCGGATAAATATCTAATCACTATGGTCGTAAGTGTTAGGAAAAAGAATGTGCATTTACATTCAAATCCCAACTCTACTTATGACAAACGGGTTTTGAGGTTATGTGAAGTTGTTGAAAACGAATGCAAAACAAAACACCTACGAAAAAGGAGAATTAAATCGGAATGCTAATCAAAAGTTTTGCTTATTTATAACCTGGAGTTCAAATCTTCTAAAACTAGTTCAAATGATTTTCTCTCCAGATTATACAATGGTGCTGTCTACACAAATAGAACAGTCCTGCAGTTTTCTCGTTCATAAGTATTACGAATGGTTTTAATTCTTTTGAGTTACGTGCCAAAACAATGATATAAAAAATATAATTAAAAAATATCTATGTATTCTACCTTAGAATCAAGTTTGTACTGTATTTTGTTAAGATGTTGAATATAAAACCGCACACTTTGACCTTCTAATTAGTCTTTAAAACAACGCCATCTGCACTTTTCCCACCGGCAATGTCAACAAAAATGTTTTTCTACTTCCTGTAGAATTTTAATCAATTCGGAAATACATAATTCTAAAATAAACAAACTTCCAATCTGATAACAACGTAGATTACTTTAAAGATTTTATGTTAGGAACAATATTTCATACTTGAGAAATCACTTTTTTTTCTTATTTTTAAGCCATAATTCTCATAACATATCTCTTCAACTCTCCTTCGCACTACCCATTTCTCCACCCTATGGAAATTCTCTTTAATAAAGGTTATTTCTAAACCAAACATGACCAGGGTGGGTGTAGCGTTTACACAGAGGAATTGTATGCGATTTGGCAGACGCTTGGGGTGATTCGTGGTGGCTCAGTCTTCCTAGTCTGCACCGATTCTCTCAACCCGGTTGCCGTCCGTGATAGGTTTTCCGACGACCCTCTCGTCGTAGTACTTTCGTTGGAGAGATACCACGAACTGAAGCGTCTCGGCAAAACGGTGGTTATTGTCTGGGTACCTGGACAAATAGGTCTGGAGGGTAATGAAAAGGCGGACGTTCCAACCTTCGGACTTAACCTCCGGGATTCGGCCTTCTGACGCTAAGAATGCAATTTTAAAAAAATGTTTAAAAGAGGATGGCAGCGTCAATGAACCGGGTCGGCAGAGAGGCTCTCACGTATCAAAAACACTGTAGAATGTAGATAGATGGTCCTCGGAGGTCTACCCGTAGAAGAAGGATCATCCCCACCAGGCAAAGCCCTCGTATGTGTCTGGCATTTAGAGAAAGTTTGCTCGATGTGTCCCACCTAATTGAAGGGTGCAGTTCTTGACTTCATGAAGAGAGCACATAGGAATTCCACCCGATTTGAGAAGTGGGCTTGAACACAACAGCAAGTATTTAGGTCCCTGTTCCGATTTTTGGAGGAGACAGGGTAGATTTGGGTCCCTAGAATGCATTTATTATCGTGAATGCGTAATGTGAGGGGGCCGACAATGGGATAATGAGTACCCCTCCAATCCTCAATTAGGTTAGTTATATTATAGGTGATAATTTTGTGTCCCTGGCGAGTGCTGAGAGTGGAGGAATTTATTGGCGCGCGTATGTGCGCGTGCGTGCGTGCGTGTGTGTGTGTGTGTGTGTGTGTGTGTGTGCGCGCGCGCGCGCGCGCGTGTGTGTGTGTGTGTGCGTGTGTGTGTGCGTGTGCGTGTGTGTGAAGGTGGATGGAGGAATATCGAGTACCTTATCAACCACCAATTTATGCAGTGCATGAAAAAGTTAGTAAATGCATGCATGGGTGCTCAATACTCCCCCCCCCCGATAGCTGAACGGAAAAAACTGAGGTCTGTCCACAGAATGTCAACACCCGGGCCATGCCAGTAATTTATTGTAAATTATAAACGCTAGAATTGCCCATAGACTGTGAGAAGTGATAGGCTCAACTCTGTACATGTGTTTATATGCGTAAACACATCTGCAGATTTGAGCCTAATAAATCCAAATCCAATCCTAAACCAAACAAACCCACTCACCTTAGTTCTTACAGACCAATCAGTGTTTTGCCTATAATCGGGAAGATTCTCAAAAAACTACTGTAGCTCCACTTTTATAATGAAATTCCATCCCATATCACTCCTAATCACCAATTTGTCGACTTTCGGAGTTGCCTCTCAACTATCCATCATGCTCATGTTGGAGAACCATTACCACTGCCCTAAGCTGAAATAGTTCAGCCCTGTTGTCTTCCTGGACATATCTCAGGCATTTGGTAGGGTATAGCACCCTTCTATGGAATCTCCAGGGGGATCCTACCATCTACTCTACTCCTGATACTAAAGTCTTAACTCTCAGACCATCACTTCCAAACTGTCAAAAACACTCCTTTCTCCTCCATTTTTCCAATTCTCATGGGTGTTCCACAGGGGACCATACTCGCTCCCCTCCTCTACACAATATATGCAGCTCGTCAACCCACTCACCCTAGCACATTCATTTTTACCTTTGCTGACGACACATCAATACTCAACTCCAATAAAGACCAATTACAGATTCACATAATGTGCAAAATCTCTTACACACTCTCACATCCTGGCTCTGCGAATAGAGAATCAAGGTTAATAAAACTATGTCTAAATACATTGTTTTCACCCTTAACAAAAAAAACTCTCCCTCCATTTTATTTCAATAATCTTCCTAATGCCATAAATTGCCGTTCAATAAATTGTAATATATTTCGACAAACGACTTTCATGCAATCCCCATAAGAGACTCAAATGTAAAAATTTAAATACAAGATTTAGACGGATAAAAAGACAATCCAAACTTACATTAACAAACAAAAAAGACTGTACTGCCTGCTTGAACTGTATAGAACTAAGTGGTCCAATTTTAACAGACTACAAACCCTACAATCTAAAATTCTATAAACAATAGTTAATGCTCCCTACTATGTCTCTAACCATACAATTCATACTGACCTAAAAATCCCATCTTGCCCAAATTCATTACAAAAATTTTCATTCTAAATTATTCACTCAAACCCCTTAATCTGCAAATTGTCATCCTCGATAATACCCGCCAATCCTCATTAGAGAAGGAAGTAACATTGGCCATGTCAACAGTTTAATTGTCTAGCATCGGCAAAGGATAGTTGCCAAGTGATCTCCACCCTGTTGGCAAACTAACGGCTCCTATCACTGGATGGTCGCCGTTCATGGCTTACATACCCTTTGGTGTGTGCACGTTCACACGATATCCTAATAATTTCAGCATGTTTGCTTGTTGCATATTTAAGGTGCAGTTGTAAATAAATGAATTAAATGTTTTTAAATGATTAGAAAACAATTTAAATAAGAAATTGTACAACTTGTATTAATAAAATAATCATTGAAAAAATTGTTCATCTCATTTATTGATGTGGTTTAGGTTAAAGTTGAGTTAGTTAAGGTTAAGTTTAAACTAACTAGTTAGTAACAGTTATATAATTTCTAGCCTCCAGAGGATCTGTCCGAAATTTTGATTTCGTTGAGTTATCTACCTTCCGCAGAGCGCTTGACTGTGGTGCTGCTGAAAGCCAAGAATCTCTTTCTTCCGGAAAACAGAGACACTCTAGGTATGCCTGTCTCTGAATCGAGTTTTTATACATGACAAATGCTGATTGATGAAATTTCCAGACCCGTTCGTGAAAGTTTGCCTTCTCGCCAACGGAAAGCGCATTAAGAAAAAGAAAACGGCTTGCAGGAAAGGGACGGTCAACCCAGTCTGGAACGAAGCCATCACCTTCAATGTGAGCTCGTCCTTCTTGAAAACTTCGGCAGTCGAGGTAACAGCCGGTTTCACAAAAACTGTAGGCCTTTTAATGAGGTTTGCGATCCTATTTACAGATCGTAGTATTTGACCAGGGATCTGATTTGATTGGAGCACCATCGACGGTGGGCTCCGTGCTCATCGCTCACGATAGTGAACACTGGAACGAGATGTCTTCTACTCCGAGAAAAGCAGTGGCTATGTGGCACAAAATACGATAAGTCTTTTAGGTTTATATGATGGAAAGCAACCGATTATCCTGTCTTATTACAATGTTTATGTTTTTAAAATCCATGAATTTACCCAATAAAAAATGGATTTTATATTAATTAAACTGAAATGAAATTGTTTTTACTAAGTTCACTTTAAGGAGAAGTGAAAATATTTCTTACTGATTGAATCAATAAAATTAAAACTATTTAGTACCTTTTCAACAAACAAACAAAAAAAGGTAACACTAAACTACTAAAACTGAACAACCGGCCCATGACTTCCAGAGGGAGTAACGCTTATTTATTCATAAATATTTAGCTAAGATAAAACTAATATTATAATTTTTAAGGATAAATGTATCGTAAATGTTGGTCTGAATTCACAGCGCAAGACTAAAATACTATTTTAATTATAAATGACAATGCTTAATTAATTTATATAATCAAATTAAGTGTATTTTAATATTGGCTATTAATTTTTATAAATATAATTTTTAATTTGAATACATTACATAAATGTGATAAATGGTAATTATATGTATTAAAAATTACAAATTTTAAAAACTGTGTACATCTTAAAAGTATAAATTTGTTGCCAAAATATAAAAAAGTATATCAGTAAGTTTCTAAACAAATATTTTTACTGAGGGTTTAAATATTTTCCCATATAACATAGTGACTAAACAAATATGTCAAATCTATGTCAATTAGCATATTTAAAAAAAAAATATATATATATTGTTGTTTAAATGTTAAGATATGTTTTAATGAATCAAAACAAGGTATGGAAAAAGTCTAAGAGTTTAATGATTGTCTAAACCTAAAAGATTAATGTTATTGAACATGAGACTAAAAAGTTAAACTACAATTATTCCTGACACAAAATACTTATCGAACAGGCTCAACTCGGCACAAGTTTGTATGTATGCACATGTGCAGATTTGAGTCTATATGAATGCTAAAAAAACTTATCATATTAGATTTTCTAAAGATGTTATATTTATAAAAAAGGAGAGGAAATAGTGAAAATTATTTGGTAGAATTTATTACCTTTCTTTGTTACTATTATTAGTAGTACAAATAGTAATATTTTATACATTGCCAAGAAACAAAAATGGAATAGAAAAATGAGCTACATTTGAGAAATATCTGGAAAACTATTAATGTAAGTATAAATCATGTCAACACTGAAAAATTTTATTTGTTTAATGTTTATGCTGAATGTTTTCATTAATAACAAAAGAAACGTATCATTAGAAAACTTTTTGCAACTGAAAGTTCCTTCATTTAATAATAGATTTATTTTTGTAAGTTATTTAAGAAGTGGATTATATTTAATTTCAAACAGTAAAAAAAAAATGTAAATAACATTTAGGAGTTTGAAAAAGAAAAGTTGTGATTCATTATGTACTCCAACATTTATTATATTTCAAAGTCTACATGTATTTTTGGTATTTACAAAAAAAAAAGCATTATCATAGTACTACTAATATTATATTTCAAATTCTACAGGTATTGCTATGTTGTTTTGTATATGAAATATAATTATTATATATCCAACAGCAAAAGGAGAATAAAGAATAAGTTAATTGAAATAAAATTTAACCTTGCTTACACGACAGGCTTGTTTGAAGATGTTGAACTGTAGCATATGCATATATGAGTAATGTAATACAATTAAATATCATGTGCTACTGAATGAAGTAATCATTTCTCGTCTAACCCCAATTGCATTTGTTCATCACAAATAATCTGGATGAAAACAAACAAATTCAATTGTTATTTGCCAAGCTTTCCACCTATTTTAAGGTGATCATCATGGAAAACAAATTGACATAAATAAATTTGTAGTAAATGATTTCAAGTTTCTTTGAAGATAGACTCACAAAGAGTCACAGATTTGGACCAAACTTTTTTTTGTGATTCTACAGTCCAAAAGATCAGACACATATCCACCAACTTCTTGTGAGTAGGACTTGGTTTCGCCAAAAAAATTTGTTTGGAAGTTAAAATTTTCCATTTTTTAATATTTTTATTTTGCTGTTCTACATGCTAAATCAACAATGTGAATAATCATTTTACAGTATTTTTTTATGTACATTGCAATAAAAATATAGTAAACATTATTAAAGTTTATCAATAACCAAAAAATGTCTGAAAACCAAATATTTTCAAGTAAACTAGGACATAAACAATTTTTTCCGTGAAACTAATATTAAATAACGTTTTAACATGTCTAGAGACCCATAAATATAAAGTTTTGTTTGAATTTAAATTTATCAATTTTTTAGACCCTAAAATTTTGTTAATTTTTGAGAAGTCATTACTGGAATATATTATTGAAAAGGCTATAATTTAAAAAGGGCTGAAAGGATTTTAACATTAGACTATTTGAAAGAAGAGGACCATAGTTTTTAACAATGTGTGTACCACAAAAGTATACAAAATATTTCAATAAGGAAAATACACAATATAGCAAAATTATTTGTCATATAACTCGTTTGTTTTGTTTCTTTTGTTGAATGGAATTAATAATCCAATTTTAATGTTTGATACAGTTATAAAATGCACTTGACAATTTCCTTAAAACAAATTATCAATTATAAAAATTGGTCTACAGCTTTTGAGAAAAATTATGTGAGCTTGCACTGGCATGTCAGTCATGCAGTGGTGGACGAAACTATTACTCAAAAAATTAATTTACACTGATTTCATCCAAAGTCGGTATCTAGGGGTTTTATGATGCTAGAATCAAGTCAATGCAGTGAAACTCAAGTTTTGACTATTTTCCGATGTACTTTGCTTACAGAATATTTGTTAAAATAGGCAAAAAAGCAGTATTTTGTTATCTTTTTAATCATGCCATATGAGAATATTCTACACCATAGAACTTTTTGTTTTTATGTCAACCAACAATAAAATTAATACAATTAAATAATATTTTTTAATCTCTAATTCAAATGTTTTAAGTTTAAATTAGGATTAAGGTAAAACAGGGTTAAGAACAATTGGACAATTTTCATTCTAACAAACTCAATCTGCGTTCTTTATCAATGATTACCGTCTGAGCAGTTTAATACTTATTTCAGTATTACAAGTATCAACAAAAGTTTCATATACAAACACTCTGGATTCAGGTAAGGTCTTAAAGAAAAAATCAAATTCATTTGTTACTGCCAAGCTTTCGACCTAATTTAAGGTCATCATCAGGACAAAACAACCTTAAATATGTCTACAGATTGACTTATTTATGTTTTTACAGGCAATCTCAAATTTCCTTGAAGACCGACTCAGTCCCAACATTGCCAAAGACTGTAATAAAATTCCTTTTAGTTTAATACTGCCAGATCGCCGCTAACAGTATTTAATAAAATCAACCTTGATACAGGTTTGCATTCAAACAAGAACACTGACATTTAAAGTAAAACATGATTGTTTATAAAAGTAAAGTAATGTAATTCCTTTTGCATGTTGTGGACAAGGGCTCAAACCACTTACTCTCAATTACAATTGAAACCTGTTTTTTCAAAGGCTAAAATATGATAATTAACTTTTTGAGATTTATTCTAGCCCCCAGTGTCCCTCAACATATGAGTTTCAAGGAATAATTTTCAAATGGAAATTGTATACAAGTAACTATATAAAGTAAGAAATTAAATACTATATAGAAGATATGTAATTTACTTACAATTCTATCGTGGAAAGCTTTCAAAACCAACACAGGCGACCAATACTCGAATTGGCCCGATGAATAAAGGGCCACATTCTCTAACTAAAAGATGAACTTTGTTCACATTATCCGTTATTTCAATGATAAACAAATTCAATTCTGAGAACGTTTTTTATGGGAATGGAGTAAAGATTATTAGTTTCTATATTTTCTCTATATGTTATGCTAAAATGAAACAAAGAGCAAATATTATTCTTGGAAATAAAATCTGGTGTGGAATGCGATCAAATAGTCCTCCTTCCTTTCTATTTTTCTTTCTACTTAATTAATTAAACGTTAAAAAAATTAAAATAAAGACAATTTATCAAATATTCTCCCCAAATAAAACACATTTTTGTTGTTATTTTTAGTTACTTATTTGTTAGTTTTATTATTTATTTTCATCATTAATATTAAATGAACATAATTTTTGTTTCTCTCCAGAAAATTCACTTTTAAATAGATACACATAATCATAATATTAATTAATACCATTATTTGTTTTATATAAGTTACGATATGTAGTAAGAAGTTTCGTTTTTAAAAATAAACTTTACTTTCTAAATAATACAAATATACGAAAATAAAAAATAATAGGAATGAGATGTTGAAATAGTCGGAATGAAGAGTTCAAAAAGGATTGAAGAGTCTGTGGGTGTAGGATTCTGTCCCAGAGCTCAGCTCCGTTGTATCTTTATAATTCAATCTTATTGACATTAAAAAAAAAACTGCAGACTCAACTAAGCTTGCCTCAACTACCTGTTTTATGGTTACCTGACATTATTAACAGCAAAACCAGGTAATAAATTGTCAATTAAATTTTAATCTATCACTAAATGATTTTCCAACATTTTGGAGAATTTTCTTTCAAACCATCAATTAAATATTTTTTATTAAAACTCATGCATTTCTAATCTCATTTAATTTAATTACATTAAAATAAGTATGTTGTAATTATTATGATAAAAATACATTGAAAAATAAATATTTTGAAGTAAACAACGAAATACAAGTGGTTTTTTTTCTGAGTATATTTTGTTTATGGTTGACCTGGGTACTGTTTTGTCTGTGTTGGACTCAGGTATAGGTTGCTGTTGTTTTGATTGATTTACTTGTGTTTTTGTATGTTTTTGAAAGTGTGTTCTTTGAAAAAGCATGGTGTTTGGGTTACATAGTTTTCTACATTCCATATTTCTAAATTGAGATTGTGTTTGTTCCACAGGGTTTTGTTTTACATCCACTTCCATTTTCCATATACGTCATAGTAAACATAGTAACCACCAGGTTTACTTCCATGAGTCACCTTCAGAATGAGAGGATGGAATCAGGAAGTAAACTTGGATGTTGAAAGTATTTATAAATGAGCCGTAAGTTTGAATATTTATTACCAAGACTAATACGTCCTTTGAATTTATACAGCTACACTGTGATGTAAATGTGTTTGACATACTAGAATTTGGCATTTTAAATATTTCAACTTGTTTACTTATTTTTTATTTTATTTTTTGGCCGGCTAGCTACCAGGGCTATTGCCACTTTGATTTATAATCTTTCTGATGGAATTTCTGGGACTGGATTTCTACTCGTATACGTGGTAAAAAGGCTCTACAACTGATGCATACCCAAGCATTTAAACTTAGCCTAACCTTAATTCGATATTCCGCTGAAGGCCTGCCCTCATTCACGCTAATAAAAACAGTCATAGAGATTTCTTTCATACCATACGTACAGCTAAAAATTGGGGAGCCACTGGAGTATTAATTTAACCCATGCCTCTCCCATTCACCGTAAAACTAACCTAGATTAGTGTGTCTATGAGGTATTCGCTACTTCACTATGACCTACCCACACATACTCAACACTAATGCCAATAAATGCATTCATTAATGTCACAAAACATTCACAGAAAAATCCGTCTATTCAACTTATGTCCATAAATTTAATATTAAACCTTAATTACAAATTTTACAAAATTAAATATTTATAAAATTCAAATACAATGTATAATGAATTATTTATTTTTGTATAAAGCTCTAAAGTTGGATTTCCAACTGGGGACAACTGCTTCACGAAATTTATCCAACGTTGTGGACTTAGCCGGGACTGCAAAACTATTGGCGCAGGATGTTTCGGGGTGAGCCGACAGGGTATCAGTTTTTTAGTGTGCATCAAAGTGCTTTGCATTTTTTGTTTCTCTCCATATAAACACATAAGTACCTCAAGCTTCAGAATGAACCACGAGGACCACATTCGACTTACCCAATCATATCAGAGCTATCGATTTTTGTGGGATATATATTATATACATATGTCATTATATAATAAGAACTAGATAGAGGATGCTTGGAAGGAAATGTGGTGTTTTCTTCTTTTGTTTTTCTTTTTATTCTTAACATAAAGTTTAACCATGATAGCAAACAGTGATGGCTGCAGGAGGTGTAGGTATGAACGGCATGTTTGTCTCACACAAACTGATGGCTTACTTTGCTTGCCTCAATATTGTGAAATGTTTTCCCACATGGAAATGGCTACCAAGGCACTTCAGACAGTCATTTTCACACAATGGAAGCATGGAAGCGCAGCTTAACAACAGAATTTTTGAAGCTCTCCCTAAATATGTAGATTATTGACAAAGGAATATTGTAGATGTTCATATTTGTTTGATTTTAAATTATTAATAATTGTTTCCAGGTCCTGATGAAGATTATATTTTTCCCAAGAGCTCAAAGAAGGAAGTGCTTTCTTTCTTTCGGTCTATCCCTAATTTTTTATTGCAAAATTATAATATTGAAAGCTGATATTAATTAAATTGTGACAGCTAGTATTACCTATAAAGAAGAAACTGAAAATTAATTTTAAAAAACTCTTAACTAGCTACTTACTACTTATCGCTTATTACTTCAATTGGCATCTAAATAAGAACATTATTAGATTAGTTTCATAAAAGTGTATTTTTATTCCAAATTGTTACAAACGTAATTGATCTCAGGGGAATAAAACATTTACTGTATTTGTCCCAAGTGGGAAAATACGTTTTACACATTTACATTTTCATTGTACTTTTATATTGGTTTATTCTTAACCAAAGACATTTTTGTTTTCAGTAAAACAAATATCACTTAACAGGCTTAAGATTCTATTGAAATAATCAATAATAGTAACTATGTACTTAAATAATATGAAGTTTATCACAATATTAACTGTCAGTTAATAAAAATTAGTTTTAACAAGAAAGTTTTTGTGTTATTACAAAAAAATTTAATATAAATAAATAATGAAATGATTAATGATAAAATAAGATTAATGATAATAATGGTGAAAAAAAATGAATAAAACAACAATGTTATATTAAAAACCTTGTTAATTTAATAACCTAATAGACTCTAGTAATTTTGAATAGTAATGAAAGCAGTGCATACTGTTAAAACCATGAATATTTACAGAAGCATTTCTAGTTTCCATATCACTATGTCTTTTGAACTTTACTCCTGATGTATAATACCTGTCAATAAAATATTAATTTAAACTAAATAACAAAAAGAGGAAAATATAATACTGCCTTGCATTAAGAATATGCGATTATTTTTTAGATGGTATTAGTACTGCCTGGGAATCATTGGTTATATCCAGAAGTGCTATACCATCATCTTCAGGAGACGGTGCCCGAGAGCCGGCAATCGCACTGATGCTCCGCGCTAAAGCGATCCTCTCCATTTCCTTCTGCCTCGCTTCCTTTAACCTTTCAAATTCGTCTTCTTTACATTTTTCTGAATCTTCATCTTCAGTCTCCGAACCTATAGACAAGGAATCGATATGAGGGCAAATCGACCCAGATCCGAGGCCTGATGAATTGTCGAATCCGGGAGCCGATTGGACGGACATGAGATCAGCGGCATGGCTCCTAGCTGGAGAAACTGGAAGCGTAGGCGGAAGAGAAGTGGGATTTCCGATGTGCCGCATGTGAGAATTTGACGTTCTCCTTACAGGCACAGGAACCGGGTTGCTCGCTTTTATTTGATTTTGAAAAATACTTTCCGCCGTTGGACGTACTTCCGGCCCCTTGCCCATCATTGAAGTAATTGTCGCTTGTTCATCGACTTCTTCGATAACTTGGTCCGTTATTCTCGTAGAACCTCCGCCGACAGGAACGCTGATTTTTCCAGCCAAGCTGTTGCTGCTTAAACTCTCAGGCAGTTTACCACCGATTTGCCCTAGGAGATGTAAACCCTATAAGTTTAGTACTAGTTAAAACGATATCATAATCAACCAGTTTACCATCAACTACAGCAGGAGAATCTCGGGAAAATATTTTCTTCAGAACTGACGTCACTGAGCCGACCCTGTGCAACGAGGCAGAATGGGATCCTAGATTATTAACAGAGGTGGCCGAACTGCCCGACATCGTCCTCATTCTTCCACCCATGCTTACTCTCGATGAAGACCGATTAGCCAAAAAGTGGATACCACTTTGATTATCATCTGCCTAAAAATGTATACATAAAATATTGTATAGTAAATAATCATTAATCGATACCATAATTGGTCGTCATTTACAAACCAAATTTATATCTGGTTAGCATAGGTAAATGTCATTGTTTTTAGAAATTGTTCCAGCACAACTCACCATAGCCAATTCATCGATTTTTACTGAAGATGGATTTATATACTCAGCCATTGTATTGGAAATGGCAATGTTAGCCGTACTCGGTTGAGGCACTTTGCCTTTAAATGGCTGTGAGGCAATCGTATGGGGTAATTCCGTTGGAAACACTTCATCCCAGTATTGATCCTTTATAAGTTCAGGATGTTCATGGTGCATTTCATCTACTATAAGATACGAGACCTGAGATGAATAATTCAATGTAAATTTCAAATTCCAATTAAGTATTACAAATGTTAAATAATTTTGAAATTTAAACAACTGTATGTCTGGGCTAATATAATGCACTAACTTTTCAGCTTTATTGTCTTAAAAAGATATTTTGTGTCAGATTTTGGTGAGGTGATGAACCTGCAGCTCAATCTACCTAATTTTCAGTGTCGGTATTTTACTAAATTAGTGAATGTTTTATGACGTAGATTGACAAAATAACACAGACCAAACAGTAAACATTGAAATGCTGAAAAAACTGTCAAAACCAGCAAGAACAGGCAGACAAGGAAGATTGAAGATGAACCCACTAAATGTTTTAATACAAGTGTAAATGACTTCAAGAATTCTAGATTAATTCTTAGATTAGACATTAAATATTACGGTTCAATAGGCACCGGCATGTATTAAAATTCCCTCAGTTATCATGACCAAACAATTGTTCAGTTTATGAGCAAAACATTAAGACCTGGCCTCAGAGAAAATCCATGAAATTTAAAGTACATAATGTAATCCTTAAGTTAATACATTCGATGCGGGTGACTACAGAGGAGTAAAACTGGGCTCCCACCAGTCACGGGTGACCCCACAGTTCAGGCAAGCCCTCTTTCTGAGATGTCAAAGTATTTTTCCCGCATTTTAGTTAGATAAGTCGTGTAATGCTTAGGGCTTGAACGGTTCAGAACAGCCTGGACTATCTTGGTGTGAACATTCCGGGGTCTCTAACTGTAAACACATATCAACTTTCTACACCACTCTGTTTCAGTAAGTTTGACCTTTCTTCTAAATAATATGTTCTAAAATTAAAAATAAGGTTTGTCAGTTTGTCTTTACGTAAAACCAATATTTTATTTATTTTTTAAATTTACCTATTCTGTTTCCAGTTTTGTTGGAAATAAACTTTGACGAAGTAAGTAATTATAGACGCAGTATAGCATTGAATGGGTTAAGAAATGTTATGTCATAAGATTCTGACCACTAGTAGTTACCAGTTTCTTTGTACAATAATTACTTCTGTTTCTCATTCTATTAAAATATAAAAATAAGCTAATAAATGTTATAAATAAAAAAATATATTTCCAACAATACAGAAGAAAACCAGATATAATTATATTTGCCCACACAAACATTAATTTAACTTTCACTAGAGGCAAACTATTGTAGAGATTCTAATTTAAATGGCACACTGGACTGTAATTTGCTTTATAAATCTTGTAAATTATATTAATAATAAAACTGAATTTATAATTAAAGTTCATTTATATCATATTGGTACTTACAGTCACGTTTCTATCAACAATCCAATTGATTTCAAAATCATCGTCATCTTCCCCAAAAGGATTAATCAAACTTTCAGCCACTTTAAGCCAACCCATATAAAAGAAAAACTAGAAAATAAACGAAAAACTATTATTTATTTTTGAACACAAAAAAAAAATCGAAGATGTGGAAAAAACATTCAAAAATATTTTGGAAAGTGAGTTGGGCCTGGACTATTGGAGACAGACTTACTCTGAGACTCCTTTCCAGGGTATCCTTCCTTTTCCAAAAGGATTTTAGCAAAATGAAATAATGAAATTCATAAATTTAAGGATTCTCTCACTTGGGGATGGGGGCCCACCCAGATGGACCCATGACAACATTATGTAATACTAATATAATTTATAAACATTAATCAAATCCTGGAATAAAATCCAAAAACGTCTCTTCATGAATGCATCTTCATAAATGGTAAATGGCACAAACAAAAGGCACAAACATGATTAAAATGACCTGTAGCGTTGTGAAGACAGGAAAATAAAGGTCGATTGGATTAGCTCTATTTCTTAACTTAGTATCGTAAGGCACATCTAACCACTGCCGCCCAATCGCTGATGTTAAAAAAAATGAATAAGTAGCTAAAGTGACGACCTAAAAAATAGAAATATTTCTGATTAGATACAAGATAAAAACCTCATATTGTTCTTGACAAAATTAACCTGTGTATAGACTAGAGGAACACTGATACTGTCATAATTAAGTAGTAGGCCGCACTGCCCTCGAAATTTATTTAATTCATCTATAATCGTTTTAACAGAAAAGTCATCTCTTATCCTGCCCTCTTTTCGAGCCCTTGTGACAATACTGGCAGCCCATACAATGGGTAGCCAGTGCTTGGAATGATGGGGAAATTTCTCGTTTAAATCTATCACAATGTTTTTTTCGTTGTCAGTCATCAGTCCTGAAAGGTAAAATGCAATTTGGAAAAGTCGGGTTATTTTGAATGCAGTTATTGAGGCGAGTGGTTACCTGCTTCAACAAAATGTTCCAACGTTGGAAATCGTTTTTTAACCCGGGGACATATCATAGAGAATACCATAGTAAGGCAAAGGCACACGTATCGCATGATTGTCCTTCTCATAAGCCGACCACGTTCGTCCTAAAAAATTGCCAAAGATAAAAGTTATATACACAAAATTAAACAGACTTACATGCACTCTGTAAAAAATATTCAGCAACATTTCCACTCGCCTGGCCGTGAATATGAGAAGAGACGTACACAGCCACCGGATCGGGCCATGGTATGCTTGAATACTGATCCCACCATCTTTGCATGATAATCGAAATGTAGAATCCAAGCACAAATGACAATGGTATGAAGTCACTGTATGTCTCACAATATTCCGATACAGTTTCAAAAACACTGCAAAAAAGAATAGGTCATTAATAAATTGTTGACTTTTCTCTATATCCACTTATTGTTTTATGATCATTCCAATTAGATTGATTTAATAATTAATTTTTAATTAAATTATTTGTTTATTAATAATATTTCAAAGGTGTTTTATCACTTATGAAGATACATAAATTTATTTTAAATATATGTAATTTATAAGTTACAATTAATTAAGGTTTTTAGTTGAGATAAAAAAGTCAATGGCACGAGCGGGATTCGAACCCACGACCTTCGGCTAGATACACCGCTGCTCTACCACTTGAGCTATCGTGACCCCGATCCACTCAGACACCAATTTCCCATCTCATCCCCACCTTTTGAATTTTCCCTCCTTTTGCCATTTTTCAAATGTCGTGTAATCGGTAACTTCCCATCTCCGAGAATTCAATCCGATTATTAGTGAATTTAGTAATTTATAAGATTAATTTGTCTTATTTAAATTTATATATGTAGCTTTTTTTAAGCAATCCAGATTAGTTTTACGTATATAATGTGTAAAGTATTTTTAAAATGTAGTTTGTTTATTTTTGAACATCCCAGTTCAACTATCCTCTCTTCTTTGATCTGTCAGATGCGACATTTTCAGTAGTTGAGTCTCNAAAAAAAATATGTAAATAAAACTAGAATACTTTGGACTTTTGCTAAACAATATTTTAACTATTATTACTACTCTTAAAGTCACGATGTTTTGTAGTCATTAAATTGGCCAATTATTTTTTAATTCTTACAATTAATTAGTTTTAAACATTTTGGAATGTCAGTTTTATAATTAATTATAATAACATTTTTTATAATTCAAAAATGACCGTTTTCTAGCTAATTTCAAAGGAATTTTATTTTGACTTTTTTTTTTAATATTCAAAGTAAATGCTGTTGTATTCTATAGTTTGTTTCCATATCAAGGCCAAATGTCGAATTCCTTCACATTACCACTATTTGGGTTTTGAATGAATGAATTCTGCAACTCCATTTTGAACCTCATCCAGAGGATTAAAAGTTTTCCCTTGAAGATAATGAGCCATGAAATGGAACAGATGGTAGTAGGAAGATGCTAAGTTGGGATTGTAAGCAAGGGAGGGAGACACTCAATTCCATCTAATTCGGCAATTATTTGTTTCATGTAATGAAAAATGAGTGGTCGGCTGTTATATGTTGAAACAAAACCCATTTTCTATTTACTAATCCTGGATAACACTGGGTCAAAACATCATATATTCTTGTAACTGCTCACAATAAAGTTTTGAATCAATGGTTCGATCTTCTAGTATGAACTCATAATGAATTAATGAATGCCTTAATAATTCCAAAATAATAGAGCATTGTCTTTTTGTCAAATTGCCCATGTTTAGCGACTGGTGGAGCAGGCTTTTTGCAGTGTAGCCAATGTTTTCTGGACTTGGGGTTTCTGCAATATAACCACTATTCGTCGCAAGTAACTATTCTTTGGATGAACCGAAGGTCATTCGGATTTTTCGAAAGATGTTGACAAATTTCTACTTGGCATCGTGCTTGATCAATGCCTCAACTCATGAGGAACCACTCTTAATGAGCCACTTTCCCCAAGTTATGCAGTCCACAATTTATAGTGGATTGGGAAACTCCAATCTCTCTTGCTAAATCCTGACTATTTTTCTTTCTACCTCAACTGAGTCCCACAGAGTATCCTCATCTAATGATGATTTGTCCAGAACCCTCTTTCCTCTTGAGGCTGATGTCATCGGCTTCAAATTTCTGGATCCATCTGCACACCGTTCATTCAGAGAGAGCACCCTCTTTTTCAAATTGCCGCACTAAATGGGTCGTTTCAGCGAAAGAAAACTTGTTTCTAATAAAGGCGTAATATTACTCAAATTTTACTGTCGTGTTATTAACCAGACTGTAAGACAAAACTGAAGGAAAGGCAAGGTCTTTAGTAATTTATAAGATTAATTTGTCTTATTTAAATTAATATATGTAGCTTTTTTTAAGCAATCCAGATTAGTTTTACGTATATAATGTCTAAAGTATTTTTAAAATGTAGTTTGTTTATTTTTGAACATCCCAGTTCACCTATCCTCTCTTCTTTGATCTGTCAGATGCGACATTTTCAGTAGTTGAGTCTCTGCACTATTTTGGCCACATGTCTTCAATACATTAAAATACTAAACCTTGTTTTATCTTGGACTGTTCTGTCAGACGTGTTTCGCCATTTCGCCAGATCCATAGCAAAAGCAGACCAAAATAATCGGTAACGACCTTAACTCTCGAACAGTATAGTGGTTTGAGACAAAATACACGTTACAGTTGGGTTGGTCGATGAGATTTTTGGTAGACATAAGTTCAAAATAATCATTTTTATTGTATTACAATATTTATTGATAATATTTTACATGAATAAAACCTTTTTTATAACTTTTAGACAACACTTTGTTGTCTTGACAGATGAACTTTACAGTTCCATCTGGGGCTGCCAACAAAATAGGTAATGAATAAAGCAATTCACTGTAATTGAGCACAGAGTTCTCATTCATTCTTTTTTTTTAATATGATAAACAAATGTTTCCTATCATTTCATTGACAACAAAAAATGAAAATAATTTTGTTTCGTCAGTAAAAAAAATATATATCTATACATTTTTAACTTACACTTTTTGCTCTTTAGTGAGTGCATATCGATAGGTGAAGTTTAAACTGTAGTAGAGTGTAAGGAAAGCGCATAAGTCGGGCCAGATCAGCTTATATATACTCCCTCTCCATCTGAAAATAACAACTTGTTACATTACAAAGAAAAGTAATTAAAATCAACTAGATTTGAAATTTTTTAACCTTCAGGTTATTTACCGATAAAAAATATTTACATCGTTCATTTTATCATAAAGCAAATAAATTGCAACACTTAAGCATACCCATGAAAAAAGCGTAATAACTAATATAGTATATCACCAATTTTTTCTTACGTTCTATTATTTTACAAATAGAATTAGAATAACAAGAAAAATCAACTGTGGACAGTGTATTTACTTTTTTAGTACAAATAAAAGTACAACATTTCCAAGTGTACTTATCTATTATAATAAATTAAAAGGAAAAAGAGAAGGAAGACTATAGAATATAGTCTATATAGTAAGAAAAGGAAGTAATATAATTGATAATAAAATTTTATAAATTAAAATTATAATAAAATAATAATTTTTTTTTTTGGGGGGGGGGGATTTTCAGTCAAAAAGTGTCACCACTTGTTTCACTTATATTTATTTCACCGACGTTTAGGAGGATATAACTCTTTTCTGAAGGTATACAAGAGTAATTCCTGCAACATACAAATATATTTCGTTTTTTGATTTTATATTACAAACACCTTTAGGAGTAAAAAAAAATATGTAAATAAAACTAGAATACTTTGGACTTTCGCTAAACAATATTTTAACTATTATTACTACTCTTAAAGTCACGATGTTTTGTAGTCATTAAATTGGCCAATTATTTTTTAATTCTTACAATTAATTAGTTTTAAACATTTTGGAATGTCAGTTTTATAATTAATTATAATAACATTTTTTATAATTCAAAAATGACCGTTTTCTAGCTAATTTCAAAGGAATTTTATTTTGACTTTTTTTTTTAATATTCAAAGTAAATGCTGTTGTATTCTATAGTTTGTTTCCATATCAAGGCCAAATGTCGAATTCCTTCACATTACCACTATTTGGGTTTTGAATGAATGAATTCTGCAACTCCATTTTGAACCTCATCCAGAGGATTAAAAGTTTTCCCTTGAAGATAATGAGCCATGAAATGGAACAGATGGTAGTAGGAAGATGCTAAGTTGGGATTGTAAGCAAGGGAGGGAGACACTCAATTCCATCTAATTCGGCAATTATTTGTTTCATGTAATGAAAAATGAGTGGTCGGCTGTTATATGTTGAAACAAAACCCGTTTTCTATTTACTAATCCTGGATAACACTGGGTCAAAACATCATATATTCTTGTAACTGCTCACAATAAAGTTTTGAATCAATGGTTCGATCTTCTAGTATGAACTCATAATGAATTAATGAATGCCTTAATAATTCCAAAATAATAGAGCATTGTCTTTTTGTCAAATTGCCCATGTTTAGCGACTGGTGGAGCAGGCTTTTTGCAGTGTAGCCAATGTTTTCTGGACTTGGGGTTTCTGCAATATAACCACTATTCGTCGCAAGTAACTATTCTTTGGATGAACCGAAGGTCATTCGGATTTTTCGAAAGATGTTGACAAATTTCTACTTGGCATCGTGCTTGATCAATGCCTCAACTCATGAGGAACCACTCTTAATGAGCCACTTTCCCCAAGTTATGCAGTCCACAATTTATAGTGGATTGGGAAACTCCAATCTCTCTTGCTAAATCCTGACTATTTTTCTTTCTACCTCAACTGAGTCCCACAGAGTATCCTCATCTAATGATGATTTGTCCAGAACCCTCTTTCCTCTTGAGGCTGATGTCATCGGCTTCAAATTTCTGGATCCATCTGCACACCGTTCATTCAGAGAGAGCACCCTCTTTTTCAAATTGCCGCACTAAATGGGTCGTTTCAGCGAAAGAAAACTTGTTTCTAATAAAGGCGTAATATTACTCAAATTTTACTGTCGTGTTATTAACCAGACTGTAAGACAAAACTGAAGGAAAGGCAAGGTCATTTTTTTTTTTTTTAATCAAATATAATTGGATTTTAAAAACAAATAAAGCAATTTTCAAGAAAATGAAATCGGTTATTTTTTATGACTCACCCTATTAGGTCTAACTTTTTTACAAGTCAAATTTTGAAAACGAAAGTAATCGAAGAAAACTGAGAGATTTATCAGTAATGTGGAATGACTACAATACATTACAGTAGGGGTTTGAAAAATATTTATAAATCTGAGGAGTGTGGAGTTTTAATGAACAAAACCGTTTATGAATAAGCCAAAGATCGTGTTTTTCCTTACAAATAGTAGTAATTTTAGTGCATAGACAATTGATAACTGCATTCATAGGAAAAATGAAGTATACACATTTAACCCAAGTGAATAGATTTTTTTCTGGTTTAGTGACCCAACCAGACAAGGCCAAAGAGTTGAATACTTCCACATGTCTCAAATTCTTTTCGGTTTCAAATATAAAAAGAAAAGACAAGTTCAGAAAATGTTTCAAGTTGAAAAGCTCAGACAAGTGAGGTTTTATTAGATAAACAATTATTGATGGCGATAAATAAATAGTGAGTTGATTGGGAAAATTGTGTTGAAAACAGGTCGCCGGGAGCGTTTGAACGCTTGCGCCCTGCCCATGGCGTCTCTCAGCCGACTGCTTATTGACATCAGGCCGACCTAAGCAATCAGGAAGTATGGGAATCGTCCCTTTTATCTCTTGAAACAAATTACAGAGCCTGGGATGCAATCCAATTTTGTAGTTATCTAACGACACCCTCTTGGGAAATTGGGCCGCGATATTGTTAAATACAGGGTCGAATCGTCCACGTTTGTACTGTACGGTTTACAAACAGAGATAAAAATCCTCGGGTTTATCTCGGATTGCCGAACTGGCCAGTTGCTCATCCCGAAGACGAAATAAAACCTAAAATTTCCGAGTATAAAAATTGTCCGACAATTGTTGACACCGACGTCCGGTCCTGAAGGACGCATAGGCGCATGTTGATTAATCAAAAGACCAAGCCGCCGATTTGTGCAAAGGTATACGGACTATACAACTGTACATATTACTATGCCATGTATGTTTCCCCACGGAGGGCGGACACACCAGACCCCAAAGAAAGAAAATAATAGGGAAATTTGTGCGGAACATCGACGCTAGATGAACCGGGTACGAGAATGTTATCGGCTTCCTGTTACAGTTTCGTTCCTGGACTTTGGAATTTGGGTTTGAATAATAATACAAAATTACATTCTAGTATATTTATATTACAGGCGCATTTTGGCATTTCGCCAACGTAAAAAGGACATGTACATACACAGGGGAAACGCATAAACCGATCAATCACTGAAGATGGCGAAGGCAGACAGATCAAGATGGTCGGAAACCATCACACCTCAGACCCCAATAAGAATTCCCACAAATCGAATGCTTAGATTAAACGTATCAAATTCTTAAATCCGAGTCGAATGTGACATAAATTATAAACCAAAGATTCGAACCCCGGACCATTACCGTGATGAGTCGCCCGAAGTACCGTTGCGGAAACCATAGTTTTGTTATAAACCTATGGAATGCTGTGATTCTTGAAAACCTTGTGTCCGAAGAAAGCATCCTTTGTTATGAAAGTGAAAGGAAGCCTAAGTGTGTGAACAAACACCAAGTCCGTTAATTAATAATAAATAAATAATTATGTCTAATAAAGTCTAAATAGTAAATATACAATTAAGTGTTAATTCCAATCGCTTTGCTTATTGGAAATTTTTAACTAATAAATGCAATACAGTCTTCTCAGTGACCATTGAAAACATTTGTAATTGGCATGATCATTTTTCGGCTCTCTTCTCCAAGATTGCCTCTCAGCCTCAGGAAGATTGCTCATTATCGGTTCAAACATCTACCACTTGTCTCTTTACAAGGAATTAGAAGCTTCAACAATGTTTGATTTCCAGAAGCCTAAATTCGACGGTCTTTCCGTGCGTGAACTAAGATGGGGTTTTAAGCTGAGATGTGAGGTTTTACTTGTAAATTCAGCTGTGTGGAAAGGGGGTAACTTTGGTATACGCTCCCTGAGCAATTCTCTTTGACTGTGTTTCACTTTTTGGCAGTGCTCAATTTTGGATAAGATTCGGCTCTTGCACCTTGGTTGTTTTACTCTCCCAAGAAGTAAACTATTGCGGTCCTTGAATAGCTCAAATTCTCGGTGCTTCATTCGGTATGCTAAACATGCTTGGATCTACAGATACGAATTGGTTCAAGAATTTAATTTTCAAGTTTTATTCTTTCATTACTATTAAGCTATCAAAATTTGGGTATAGTCCTCATTTTTAGTACTTCTACGCTATTTGTAAATCAGTGAGCTCTGGCAGACCGATCCGACGATCCATGTCCATAATGCTTTTATTCTTTAATTTAACGGAAAAACTTTAATTTTTTTAAAATAACTTTTAATAATAATATTATATATATCTTTTTAATAATTATTATTATTATTATTCGGACTTTCCCCGAATGTGTTGTCTCTCCTCGATGTGCTGACCTTAGTGTCTATACATGAATTATTATTATTCAAATAAACCCATATCGATTACATAGTTCATTATTTATTAGATATCATAATTTCTTTCTTTTTCAATTAAGAACTAACCATGAACGGGATTTTCGCTTCTCAGGGAGCTCGCAATAACATGCGGTGTTTTTGGGAAAAAAAAAATTATGATGGGTTCAAATTCAAGGCCTCTGGATTCAAACCCGACAGACATCAGTCAGTCGCTTGTCAACGCCTTGTAGTCGCAGCTTTGTTTTTTTCTCAAGGCTAAAAGTATGAGTTATAACAGTTATTCATTAGACATTTTGAACCATTTTTGAGAGTCCTTTAGGCGAGTGTGGACTGTGAGTTAGAAGGGAAGGTCAATAATGCCTCCAATATGTTATGAGACTTGAATAACGACGACACTGTTTTCTCTTTTCCCTTCTTTCTAATTGAAAGTCGATATTTTCCCTAATTATTCCCCGACTAATAGGAATCTTTCAAATTGTTTGCCTATTGGAAAGAAAGAATTATGATTCACCGCGAAGCCTTTTCGAG